TTGGAGTGGACATTTGTCAGGGCAGGGTGTGGGAATCCCATTTACTATCACAGGAGAGAGCCTCGATGGACAAGTGAGCCAGTGAGTGTCAAGTTTGGGGGACCATGTATTTCCTAAGAGTAACAAGGTTTCTAAAGGTTTCACACAAGCCCTTTAGGCCTCACAAGCAGGCAAGTGCCACCCCTGCTGCAGTCCTGCTCTCTGCACTCCACTGGGCAACATTGCAAGGGCAACACTGGGCAACACTCCCTGGATGGCTCAGTGTCACTGATGGCACCTCCAGCAGTCACAGGCCCGCTGTGACCAACTGGGCCTCGCCCACAGCTAGACCCTCTGGGGCTTTAGCTTCCCAGGAACAGAGGGCCAGCTGGGTGCACTTAGACTTGGAGGCACCCACCCTTTGGCTAGCCAGGTGAGCACCCGGCGCACATCTTTCTCCCGAGGCTTTGTCACCTGTGCATCCACCACTAACAGACGCCTCGGTGGAGGATGATTGTACCCTGTGCATTCAGGCAGGCCACTGTCCCCCTGCAGGGATGGAGGGGTGGGGCGAGTCCCGTTCAGTGCCAGCTCCTGCCCCAACCCCCAGACCAGCCTGCTCTGGCTCTGAGTGCCCGCCATTTGGCGACAGCTCCTTGGCTGCCTGGCACAGCTCCATCAGGAGGCAGGCAGATCAGCCTGGTTTCCATCCCACCCTGTCTCCCAGCGGCAAGGAGCAAGGGCATAGTGTCCTCTGCCAGGCTGTAACTTCCTGCCTGGAGCCACTGTGGCAGAAAAGTCTGTGTTTTTCAAAGGGAAGGAAAGGGTCTGTCCCTTTAGATTCTGTCCTGAGTCAACTTCTATCAAGACAAGACAGACAAACAAGCTAACACAGCGCTGAGACAAAGAAGAAAGGGCCCTAGATTTACCTAGACAGTCTTCAACTGCACCCCTATTTTACCTAGATTAAAGGTTTGATCCAACTCTCCACTGAATAGGGAAGTGGGGGTCATCTCCTCACTTCTACGGGCCTGCCTTGAAGGCAAGTGTGCCAAGCTCTTGGCCTATTACCTATTTTGCTAGTGTACCTAAATGCCTAGAAGTACCTGGATTCCTAGATTAAAAGAACATGCACTTAACAGACAGACATAAAACATTTACTCACCCAACAAGTTGGGGTTGAAACCCTCAGAGTTGTGAGTCCTGGGTTTCCCAGTTAGGGAACCAAAATGTGCCATGTCAAGGAACCCAGAGACTAACCCAAGGAGCTGACACTCTGATGCAAAAGCAAAAGGTTTCTTTTTATTTCAAGCTGGCCAGCTAGGATCTCACTGCATGGTGGTCAAATGAGATGCCAGCCAGCCAAAAAGAGAAGCTTTTAAAGGGGCAGAACATAAGGATTAAGGTCACAAATTGCAGAGTTTCCATGGTTACTTCAGGTCATGCAAGGTACAGAGTAAAGCAGTAGCTATATATTTTAAGTGAGATACATTTGAGCCAGATAAGACAGGGCATGGGCTTCCAGGGTTACAGGGTCACAGGGTCTGTCAGTTATCCCCTAGGCTGGGGATCTTTTTGACCAGCAATTAGCAAAGGAATGTCAACAGGAGTGGTAGACAGTTACTTCCCCTTCTCTGAGAGCAGGGGATCAGGCAACAGTCATGACACTCCTGATTTCTCTTTTAATTCTTTAATTACTACTCATATTTACATATCCTTCCCCCCATTCCCTTGCCCTCCCATCCTCCCATGTTCCCTACCAACCACCCAACCAATGTCTGTGTTGCAATAGTATCCCTCCATAGGGAATGGGCTCCCAAAGTCCATTTGTGCTCTAGGGATAAAGACTGGCTCCGCTGTTAGAGGTCCAATTGACTGTCTTGGCCTCATAGCTGGCACCCACATTCAGAGGGCTTGGTTTGGTCCAATGCTGTTTCCCCAGCTTTATGACTTAGGGTCTCCATGCTCTCACTAGGTCAGGTCCACTGTTCCTGCGGATTTCTCCAGACCCATCTTGGCTCCTTTGCTCATCCCTCTTCCCTCTCCACAACTGGATTCCAGGACTATGGTTCAGTGCTTAGCTATGGGTGCCTGTTGCTGCTTTAAACAGCTACTGGACGAAGGCTCTAGAGTTGTTAAATTTTCCTTTACCATTAGATGTTCCCTTTTCAGGCCCCACCTTGTTAAACTTTTATTAATTTCAATTTTTGGTTCCTCAGTGTGTGTGTGTGTGTGTGTGTGTGTGTGTGTGTGTGTGTGTGTGTGTGTGTGTGTGTGTGTGTGTGTGTACACATATATCATATGGCGAAAGAGTGAGAAGAGAGAGAGATTTCTTCTATCAGTTCTGTTCCTCTAGAGAACCATGACTAATATGCAAGGAGGCACAATCTCATAGCAAAGTCCCTATCCCTTGGTTCATACAACCTTTGAGTCCACATCTTCACCTTCCTTGAGCCTAATATTGAGCAGTGTTTTGTATATGTATCTACAGTGCCTGCATCTACAACTCTGCGTTTTGATTAACTTTGGTTCATTAGTAGTGGTTACTGTGTGTTGCAAAGTGACCACAGGAAAAACTACACTTACCTGCAGTTATAAGAAAAATGTTGCCGGGTGGTGGTGGCGCACACCTTTAATGCCAGCACTCAGAAGGTAGAGGCAGAAGGATCTCTGCAAGTTTGAGACCAGCCTGGTCTACAAGAGCTAGTTCCAGGACAGCCTCCAAAGCCACAGAAAAACCCTGTCTTGAAAAACCAAAAAAGAAAAACGTTTAGATTTTTGTGAAGGATTATGCTGGTATAGTAAAGAGGCAGTTGTTGGTTATTCTCCAGGATTCATGACTTCACCAGAACTGAGTAGTTAGCCAGGTTTCTAGCACCACTCATTGTTTGTCTTTTGTTAAGAACTTAAGTCCAAATCCAAAGTCATTGGTCACCAAGTTATGCGTGCTACGACTGCACCAGTCAGTGTACCATGGTGACACTTGATGTGGTCCATAAGAATCTTAGATGGATGAGACTTTTCATTGGCTTCTTGCTTTGGAACTGAGCATGCTGCCTCTGGTGCATGAAAGCTATGTTTCAGCAAGGAGTTTTTGTTTGGGGGGGACAGGGACTCTGCATATCCCCAGTTTTCCTAGACTCACTATGTAGACCAGGATGGTCTTGAACTGGGTTTAAAGTTTGCATAACCTTGCAAACTATACATAACTTTTTGTTATCATGTCATGACAGTTACCAAAGGTAACTGCATGGCCTACTTGATAGACACGAGTAAACACGTGGACCTTATTTCTACTGATATTAAAGACCTACAATCCATTAAATTGGATAATGTAAACGAAACACATGAGTTTCCAGACACACAACATATTAAATTTAAACATCATGAAATAAATACGTAAACTCAGTAGCAATGAGACTGAAGCAGAAATAAAATACCCCCCCAACAACCTCATGACCTATCAAAACCTCAAAGAAGAACACCAAAACTAATAAAACACTTGAAACAAAAGGAAGTCATCCTGATTGAGTATTACATATTAAACCAGATAGTGAACCAACCAAAGAGAATTACAGACTGCCGTTCTTATTTAAAATTTTTTCTCTTATTAGTTCCCTGTCATTGATTTATCTCTCACACTGAATGTGTGTATAAAAGTGTGTGTGTGTGTGTGTGTGTGTGTGTGTGTGTGTGTGTGTGTGTGTCTCAAACACTGCCCACTCTCACCTTCTACCTTTCTACTATCCTGGTCCACAATTCCAACAAATCTCTCTGTTATGTTGATCTCCATTTATTTTGCTTGGGACTCACTGAGATTAACCAGAGTCATCTGTAAGACTGTGGGTTTGGAGCTCTGTGTTGGGTCCTGCTGGGCTGAGCAGAGGACTGCAGCTAAAGGCAGTGATTCTCCTCCTACAATCCATCCATAGACAACACCTGAGAGGTAAAGGGTCGGCCCTGTGAGCCTTTCCCTTTCCTAGACTGACTGTGGTCTAGCGTGAGGTCAATGCAGTACAGCTGCTGTTGGTTACTGATTACAACAGCTGTATGGAGTCTAGAGAATGCCAGGTCTTAGCCCTTCCTCCTCGTTCCCCAGTTACTCCCTTTCCTTGTCCTCCTCAGTGTTCCCATTTGTTTTAGGGCTGGGACCACATATCTTACTTATTTTCTGCATCTGGGACAGCCAAGAGTCTCTTCACTAACCAGCGCACTAAAATCTTTTTCTATATTTAATATAAAAGCACCTTTAGCATTAGACACAAAGGAACTTGGTTGCGTTAGTAAAATAATAATCAGCCCTGGGCTGTAAGCAATGGCTGACCACTGACTTCTGGAGACACCTATTTCTTTGCAAAATCCTGAAATGTCTCCCCCCTCCGAGGCACAACTGCAGTATTATTTGGTTTTGGCTTCTCAGGTTTGTGCTGCCGATGGGACACTGGCATCTGAATTTAGCCTGTTGTCATTTGCTCTAATTACGTAGCCCGGGAGGCTGGTTGTCAAGTCGAGGCTGGGCTGCCTGTCTTGTCCGTCTCAGAGCTCACTGTGGGGTAAAGATTTTTCTCCTGGCTGCAGCTCTGGTCTGGGCTGCAGCAAGCGTGTGTGGAGCCTGCGCAGAGCGGGTCCAGGGCGGCCTGACAGCCGAGCTGTGTGCAAGGCGGCTGGAGACCGAGTGGGAGGGAGGGATTCCAATGTTGGGGACAATGGTCTAATCAGAGGTTATTAAGGGAAAAGAAACAGCGGAGTGGACTTAGGAAACTAATCAAGAAAATGAGCCAGTGGAAAGCGGTTTTGCAGCAACTAGGTGACCGGAAGTGGAATCAAAGCGGGAAGGCCCAGGAGGAGCTGCTCCAATCAATTTGGCGACGCTGCAGGAAGCAGCCCCAAGGTCTGGAACTCGCGGCTGAAGATTCATGGAAGCTCCCAGGTCAGAGGAGCTGCGGGGCTGGGACCCGGGAGGGAGGGAGGCGGGGGGGCGAGCGGTTTCTCTGCTGCTCATCAGGAAGCCGGATCCGAGATTCTGCTGTGCATGTCTTTCTTTGGGGTATTTTAGATCGTATGGAACACGCCTGCTTTTGTTTGTTTTTTTCAGTCGATCTTCTGATTGCCAAAATATTCTTGTAAAAATAATCCAATAGAATGTTTGAATTTATCTGTTAAAATTTGCAAGCATGATTCTCCTGGCAATGGTGGAAATGACAAAGCTCTTGAAATTTACAATCATCCGTACTGATTTCCACGTTACACCCATCTGCCCGGAGACTTGGATTCCCAGAGAGATTATGGATTATTGTCATGAAAGGAACGCCTGAAATTTTTACTGAATCTTATATATATGGTTGTAAATATTAACTTTCAAAAGTGTGCTTTTATCCACCATTAATTGTCCATCTCGGACATATACATATACATATGCATGCACTCTGTACTATAAATACAGCATTCTGAAAAGAGTCTTTTCCAGGCCTGGTGGCACAGGCCTTTAATCCCAACACTCAAAAGGCTTGAGCAAGTGGATCATAGACAGTTGAAGGCTGGCAGGGTGTCCATTGTGACTTCAAGGACAATCAATACTACATAGAAAAATCCTGTAGGAGGGGAAAAGAGAAATTTAAATACATTGTAGTGTAGAATGATATTGGAAAGAATCTCTTGAGTCATTGCAACGATAATTGATCTATGTCAGAAAATGTCTACAATAGTGTTCTGTCTCCTTGGTCCAAGAAAAAAACCTCTGTCCATGGGCACATGACCAAAATGTTATTTTTGTTTCTGCTGTTAGAGGTGTTTGAAACATGAGCTCACAGTGTTGCTCTGTCTGGAGCAGACCTCGCCATGTAGACCAGGCTAAACTGGAAAACACGCCTACCTGTTTCTCCCAAGTGGGAGGATTTTGTGGTCTGTTGACAGCCAGTGATGTGATTGTGGACTTCTCCCAGGAGTGGGGGCAATGGCTGGCGTCTCCCTTGAGGGTTTTGAACTGGGACTGGATGCTGCAGAGTGGCATCAGTGTGGTTTCTGTGACTGAGAATTGTTTGCTTGCAGTCTTCCTCGCTGCTCCTCAGTATTTCATGACAAACTCATCTGCAAGTGTGTGAGCTTTGTGTGAGTGAGTCCCACATCCCACAGAATAAAGTGGAATCCTCAAAGGGAAAAGGAGAATTCTCATAAATGTTCTCTCTTCTTCTTGTGTGTCCCTTTGGGTGGTGTGAGCATCCATCATCATTGGTCCGTGGTCAATTCAGAACCTCTAGTGTGTGACATCCTTCCCAGTCATTCGCTTCCATTTCTGCCCCTCGGGTTTGACTGAGCTGTGCTTGGAAATGGGATTCAAGAAATGCTAACTAAAAATGCTTTCTAAATATTACCAGTATTCAGACACTGCATGACAATTGAGGAATCATTTGTATAATCCTGTGTTTAGTTTTTTGTTCGTCTGCTGAGCACAGTACTGTGTGAGAAATCCAGGGCTTTTTGAACAATCTCTTTCTCACGTGCAGGGCTCACTGATCGCCCAGTCCTGCTCACCTGAGCAGCAGAACAAGGGGACCTGGAAGGAGAGAGGAGACAGTAGCTAAGGAAGCAGGTATGGGGGAGGGATCGAGTGAGTGTTTGGAAGTGTGACAGGAAATCAGTTTGACCACATTCTGTTTCACTAGAAACAACAGTCTAGACTCCCACTGAGGGAAATCTCGGGATTATCCCAATGTAGGCATGAGAAGAATTTCTTCAGAACAATTGAAACTGGAGTCAAATGAAATTATTTGACTGTGCATGTGATCGATACTGTCCTTACCCATTCACACCACTGACCATGTTTCCATACCATTATTGAATCATTTTCATTTATTTGACTTTAATATAAGAATGAGTAAATATGAATACCTTTAGGCTTATTTATTGTTTTCAATATTTTGGAATTTGGTATCCTAGCACATTCTCTACCTTTAGTCGTTTTGTCTCTGTTCCTGAAAATAATGGTGTCAGGGTTTTGCTCAGAATCGGGAAGTATATTTACAGCCTGCTGCCCTCCATTTATAGTGTCTGCTATGTCTGTTGGAAATTAGGAGAAATATTGAATAAGGATTATGCTGACTTAGAAAGTAGTGGTTATAGGTTCTCCTCCAGGATCTATGCGTTTCCTAGCCCTGGAGTAACTGGTTAGCTTTCCAGTACCAGGCATGTTCTCCCTCTCGTTGAGAGGGTCTTAATCCAATTAGAAGCTGTTGGTCACCACCAAGGTTTGTGTGCCATTCTTGCTCCCTGAGGGTCATCACACAGTGTAGATCATTGTGTGATTTATAGGTGTCATAGCTGGGTAGCACTGTTGGCTGGCTCCCTTCTTTGGAAGGTTGTGTGTTGCCTTCTTGTACCATTAAAACTAGGCAACAGGCAGGAAGCTTTGAGGTCAGTTCCAGCTCGAGCCATCTAGGATTTGTACCTGAAGTGTATGGCTTTTTCAACATTAGGGACTCAACTTCTGCCTGTGGGAGGCGACCATGGGCAACAGCAAAACCGTGTAATGTTTGGAAGTCTCTTGGACAATTGTGACCAACAAGTTCAAAACAGCCTACTTAACACCTGATGTTGTTTTTTTTTTCTTTTTTTTTTTTTTAGAAATTCTATTATTCTTGTGAGAAGTATCATCAGCCCAGGTGAGAAGTATTCATTTACACTCTAAATGTGTATGCTTACAGAGAGGTATAATATGTATTATAGACGTGGTTTTTTTTTTTTTTTTTTTGGTGGTTGGATAATGGCCAAGGAAGAGATGGATTCCGTATGAATTTCCCAGACAAGGTTACTGTTATTATTGTACCCTCCTTGTTCTGTGTTTGTATTTGTCCATTCTCCATAATTGAATCCTCAACCCTGTTTTTTCTGTTTCCCCTTCTGATCATTTGTTTGCTCTTACTCCTTTCTCTGTCCCTCCCTCGAAACCTGTGGTCTCCTTCCCCTTGTCTGATTCCTGCACGCACTGAACGTTCTGTACTGACAGCTGAAGATTTGGAGGTGGGAACTTCCTCTTAGAAAAACATACATTGTCTGTCTTTCTGGGTCTGGATTACCTCACTCAGTGTGATCTTTTCCAAGCCCATCTATTTACCTGCAAAGCTCATGATTTCAATCTCTTTTTAGCTGAATAATATTCCATAGTGTATATGCACAATTTCACTCTCCACTTGTCAGTGGAAGGACATTGAGGTTGTTGCCATTTCGTAGCTCTTGTGGGCAAGCAGCAATGAATGTAACAGGAATTCTAATTCTTTGTTTGTTTGTTTGTTTGTTTGTTTTTGTTTTTGTTTTTCAAAGAGACAGGGTTTCTCTGTGGCTTTGGAGGCTGTCCTGGAATCTAGCTCTTGTAGACCGGGCTGGTCTCGAACTCACAGAGATCCACCTGCCTCTGCTGGGATTAAAGGCGTGCGCCACCAACGCCCGGCAGGAATTCTAATTCTTAATAATAAAAACTTGGCGACAGGGAGCTGGCTCACAACCATCTGTAATGAAATCTGGTGCCCTCTTCTGGTGTACAGATATACGTGGAAGCAGAATGTTGTATATGTAATAAATAAATCTTTAAAAAAAAAAAACAAACTTGGCAACAGATATTAGGGGATGAAAGCTGAGAGATCAGAGAAGCAGAGTGGCCAGCCATTAGAAAGTTCTTACCTCTACAATACTTAGAGCAAAGGGGCCAACATGTCCTCAAACTGCTGCCCTAGACCAAACCACTCCCTAGAGTGCTTCAGACTGACTGCTTGAGCTCCAGTCTTCTCCTTGCTTGTAATCCTCTCTCCACCCAGCCATATCACTCCTTTCTCCCTAGTACATGGATTAAAGGCTGGGATCACTTTTTTTGTGAGCTCTGTTTCTCTTTTAAGCTGGATCAATTTCATGTAGCCGGTGGTGGCCTTGAAATAAGAGTTCTGTCTGCCTCTGTCTCCCAAGTGCTGGAGCTGAAGATGTATGCCACCATTGCCTGGCCTCTATGGCTAGCTAGTGTGGCTAGGTCTGTGCTCTGATCCTCAAGCAAGCTTTATTTGTTGGATCATAACATATCATGGCTAGGTGGTGTAGCACACACCTTTAATCCCAGCAGTCAGGGGAGCCAGAGGCAGATGGGTCTTTATGAGTTCAAGGCCAGCCTGGTCTGAAGAGCTAGTTCCAGGACAGTTAGGGCTACACAGAAAAACACTGTCTCAAAGAAAAGAAAAAAATCACCAGAATGAACATGGGTGAGCAAGTGTCTGTGGGGTAAGATGTCAAGTCCTTTGAGCCTATGCCAAGGAATGGTACAGCTGGTTCATGTACTGAACTCATTTAACATCAGGTTTTGTTTATTTAATCGAGGTTTCTCTGTTTTGATTTTCAGTGTGTTTTGTGGGTTTTTTTTTTTTTTCTGTTCTTGTGATTTTCAGTTTTGTGGGGTTTTTTCCCCCACAGCATTTTTATTTCCTATGATTTTGTTTTTATGTTGTCAATGGTTGGATTATTGCTAGTATTCTTTCTTTTTGAAAAATAGTGCTTTGCTGTCTTGCTCGTGGATTATTTCTTCCCAGTTCTCCTGTATTTATCTGTTCTTCACATTTCTTCACATGAAATCAGTTATTTCCCAGGTTTTCGTGGATGATTCCCCTGACTCTCCTGCGTGTGTTTTGCCTCTAATTTATTATCTGCAGTGCTGCTTTAGTGAAATCAGCTGTGTTGTTTGGTGACTATCTTGGTCTCCATGAATTTTAAGAGAGTAGTCTTCTTTGTGCAACAAGATGCTTGATGGTGATTTTTCTCTTCAAGCTTCAGATGCCTTTCCATGCTCTCCTGTCTTTGGGATCATTGACCAGACACCTGGTAGATTTCTGTTGCTTGGGTCTTTTCATGTGGTTTGACATTGTTCTCTAACAGGTTTCATATTACTCGTACATTCTGACCCTTTACTTTATAGAGAAGTGAGCCATGGCTTCATTGTTGGTGAAAGAGGAAATCAAAGAAGAGAAACAGGAAGAAATGGACGTTACTCCGGTAAATCTATCACAGGTCAGTAGTCCTTCCCACTCTCTATCAAATATATTATACTTTGATAGATTAAAAGCCTTTAATTCTCTGCTTCTGATACTTTTTAGAAATTTTTATTATGAAGAATTCTGCAAACAGACAAGCAGTAAAATCCCTCACTGCAATTAAGCAGACCCAAAGACCGTACAACTCAATGTTCTTTTATACAGTTAGAGTCATCATAGGGAACAGAAGCTCTGGAGCCTCACATGGGATTTTATGTTTCACAATCAAATATCCTCTGATTTACTTATCCATCACCCAACCCCAAAAGCCTTTGACAGAATTAGAACTAGAAAAGCTCTTAGCTTAAGTAACCTTTCCATAACTGGTGTTCATTACCTGGACTCAGTCCCTGATAAGTTAACCTTCCTGTTCTCTTTTCTCCAAGTCATACTGTGTCCATGTTAGAATTATATATATTGTAATACATTATATATACATATACAAACATATATATATATATGTGTGTGTGTGTGTGTGTGTGTGTGTGTGTGTAGATTCTGCATATGAGTGAAAATATAGTGTCTTCTTTATAAAAGTGTATGACCGCACTTTATATTATCCATTTTAGATCCATCCATTTTCCCACAAATTTTTATTTTCCTCTTTAACTGAATTTTACCCCATCTTATACAGTTTTCATTTTACATTCATCTGTTGAATAGATAATTATTTTGACTCCAGTGCTTTTCCTTTGGTGCTTAAAACAGCAGTACACATGGTATATAAATACATCTATGGGGGGGGGTTCTCTGTGTCTATGGCCAGGAATGAAAGAGCTGGGTTATATGTTAGTTCTGCCTTTATTTTTTTTTCAGTAATCTCCAAACTGATTCCCACAATATCTGTATTAATTTGCACCCTCCCCTCCATCAACAGTGAAGAGGGCTTCCTTTCTCTCCCTATGCCATCAACCACTTATTGTCAGGTTAATTGGTCATAGTCATTCTGTCTGGGACGAGGCAGTATTTCTAAGTTGTAACACAAATTAATAGAAGACCCAGAGACCGATGTTGATGCTCAAACTTCAAGCTGAAGATCAGAAAAGCAAAGCAGCTAGCCACCAGCTTTTTACCTCTACCTCAGGCTGAATGGACTGATCCTGTCTCCAGGAGCTCTCACCAAGCCTCAGACTACAACCTTTCCTCAGCTTTCTTGAAGAATGAATACCTCCTACCGATTACTTAGTCCTGTTTTTTATACCTCTCTAGTGCTAGGATTAAAGGTATGAGCTATAATGCTCTTTTAGGCTGATTCAGTCTCGTGTAGATCTGGGTGGCCTTGGACTCACAGAGATCTGTCTATCTCTTAATTCTGAGTCCTAGGATTAAAGTTATGTATCATCACTGCCTGATCTCTATAGCTTGTGGCTGACTTTGCTTTTCTGAATCCCCAGTCAAGCTTTAATAAATCATAAATAATATATCACTATACCAAGTAGTTTTACTTTGTGTTTCCATGGTGGCTTTTTTTTTTTGGGGGGGGGGGTTCCTGAGAACTTTTTAATGATTATTGGCCATTTGAATTTCTGTCTTTGGAAGTCTTTTTTAGCTCATTTGCGGTTTTATTTTCTAAGGATTTAATTCATTTTGACAAATTATTGTTTATGATCTAATAAAGCCACTAGACCTCAAAATGCAAAGCCAGCCATACTAGTTAGCTATAGAAGCTGGGCAGAGGTGGCAAATGTTTTTTTAACCCCAGGACTCAGGAGAAAGAGGCAGATGGATCTCTGTGAGTTCAAGGCCACCCAGAGTGAATCAGTCTAAAAAAGACCAACAGCTCACACAAAAGTAGTCTCAGCACTTGGGATCCCACCCCTTTAATCCCAGACCCAGAGAGTATTTAAGAAGCTCAGGGCAGTCTAGGATCCTGAGTCTTGGAGGCAGTCTGCATTGCACTCTGAGGATTCGTGGAGACAGGGTAACCCACTTTGGTCTGAAGTAGAGGTTAGAGCTAGTGGCTGGCTGCTTTGCTTCTCTCATCTTCAGCTTGAGCCCCAATATCCATCTCTGGGTTTTTAGTTTTCATGTTTCAGTAAATTCTTACTATGACCCTTACTCAGAGTCTCAGTGGTACAGATTCTCTTAGCTATTCCTTAAACATTTTTTGATGTGTTATTTGGAGTTCCCTCAATCTTTATACTCTTTGGGAATGAAGTGAAATACTCTTCCAAACTTCTGAAATTGTTGATTTGTCTCTGTATGACTTGTGCACATTCTTGGGAAAATTTTGAATTATATCAAATATGGCTGATGCCAATTTTTCTATCTGTTCATAGTGGCCCAGATATTCTCATAAAAGTAATCCCATAGGTTACTTATCTTATATGACAATGTTAAAATCTACCATATGCATTACTGTTATAACCTTTGCTACTGCAAAACAAAAAAAAAAAAAAAAAAAAAAAAAAATAAAATTCTTGTCTATAAAATCAGTCCTACATTCTGTCTTCCATACCTACCTCTTTGCTATGTAATGGTGTGGCATTGTGTCTAGAGTTTAAACAGCAGAACTAAGCCTGTTACAATACAGTCATGTAAGGCCCAAGTGCGCACGGGATTGATTTGTGTCAGTATTTTCAAATGATCTACAGGTACAGCATTTAAAGCCTATTTCTTCATCACGAATTTTCCTTCTGAGATATGTACACTGTGATTCTGTGGGAAATAAACACAGCATCCATAACAGATAGATAACTTGTCCAGACCTTAAATGTATTTCTTGTTTTATGTATACTACTTGTAAGACTATTGTTTCATCCTGTTTTCACAGAAGAAAATGTAAAATGTGTTCATGATAGTATGTGACTGCACTGGAAATCACATTTTTGAGTAATTATCTTCACTTATATATATTCCATCTCCTTATACCCAGGAAAGCACTTCCAGGTAGCACTTGGTCAAACCATACTTTTTTATTTCAGGGTGTGTTGACATTCAAGGATGTGTCTGTGGACTTCACACCGGAGGAGTGGGAAACCCTGGACTCTTCTCAGAGGGCTTTGTACATTGAGGTGATGTTGGAGAATTACAACAACCTGGTCTTTGTTGGTGAGAACATTTTGCTTGTAGAATTCATAACCTATCTTTTGTTTGTTCTGACAGCATAGGATGTAAAATCTGTTAAGCTGTGCTGGGAAAAAAAAAAAAAAAAAACAAGAGTCAAGGCAAAGTTTAATAGTAGGAAAGAACATTTTCATGCTATTTAGTTTTCTCTTTCCATTTTCCATTTCAGAGTTGACATCTACCCTTCATTTTGGTTCCAAGATTTTAAGGAGAGCATTTAAATTACAGCCTCAATGCTCTCTCAGGGTCCAGGCTAGGGGCTATGCAGCAGGTGGGTAGGGAAATTCCAAAAAGCGTCTAAGGGTGAGAGGGAAACAAAGGGGCTCACACACTCATTCCTCTCATGGCTCTTTATTGTTCAAAATTGGAGGTGTCCCACAAAGGTTGTCTTTCGAAAGCTCTCTTTAAGATTTCACTCTAAAAGCTCTCTCCCCAAAAGTTCTTTCTCTAAAAGCTGTTAAGTTCTTAAAAATTCTCTAAAATTCTTTCTAAAAAGTCTCCAAAAGTTCCTTCTTCTAAACGTTCTCCTGAGGTCTCTTTAATCCCATAAGGTTTCTACTTTTTATACTCACAGGCACATTTAACAACCGTCTGACAATAGGGCGTGCATATCTCTCAGCCAGGAAGGCTGGGAAGATCTTAAGAAAAGCAAGTGCCTCCAGTATTTCCCCTAGACATGACTTGCAAAATGTCCTGGCAAACTTAAGTCTCACGGGGGACGTGACTTGCAACTCCCGCAGTTAACTGATAAAAGGGGGCTTTTCAGTGCTATATCAAAGGGAAAACTAAGGCTATGTAGGGTGAGATCAGAGGATCCAGCTCTTACTGCTGACATCCCTTTGAGAAGGTATTTTCTTTCTCTGTGGCCTATTTGAGATACAAAGCACCCAGGATATATTCTACAAAATTCATAGTAACAAATATTCAGCAATTGGTACCTGGAATATTAATTGCTACTTCCGTAATAAATGATAAAGGCTTTCAACATCTCAAGCTTTTTTAGCTTATTAAAAAAAAGGGGGGTTGTGGATAATTCAGTGGGTAGAGCATAAGGCTCACAATCTCAGGGTCATGGGTTCAGGCTTCACATTGGGTGCCATTTTGTAGTAGGAAGTTTCTGTTCCTCCTGGTCTCGCCACCCCCTCAGGTGCAAATAAACACACAGAGACCTATTATGTATAAACTGTTTGGCCTATGGGTCAGACTTCTTATTGGCTATCTCTCTCTTAATAGATTCTCTTCTTGGGCAGTGTATACTGTGGATGAATATAAGTCTGACGATGACTTTAGAATAATTGACTAATACACTGCTGGGGTTATTTGGGATGCATCCCACTATGGAAGGACGAGTGCTGTATCTTCACAAGGGTTCTACAGAGATAACAGTGACAATTCAAAAGACAGGTTTCCCCAAGGCTTTGCAAGTGCGGGTTCCTCCAACGGAATGCATGAGGATCTTGTTGGGTCAGTCTAGTGATTCTGTCAATTGAGATCTTATGCAGTGTATAAATTTCTCTCTGTGCACTGCGTGTGGCAGACCCTATGCATTTGATTACTGGAATAAAAAAATAAAAGTAAAAAGATTAGTATTCCCATAATTCCCATATTGATAAGAAGGTTTCAGAAGGAGTTGTTATTAACAACATTTTTAACTTAATTAACAAGCTCATTAGCTACGTCCTCTGTTGAGGAAAGATGGAGCCTGGAATGGCTAATGGTCTTGATCTGAGAATGTAAAGTGCCCAAGTCTGTGCCTGGCTGGGAACTATTCTAAACACTTCTCAAGTGAGCCTGTACCTGATATCATGACATTTCTGAATCATTATAAGGTAAAGGAATGACATAGACCCATCTAAAATCAGCATGGCATGATGTTGTTACATATGTCTGACAGTTGTGATTTTGAGTTATCAGAAGAGGAATGTTAGTTTGGAGTGTTAGTTTAATCTATTAATTTTTGATTAATTGTATTAAATTGATTAATCTGTATATTGCTGAAGCATTGATAGATAAAGAGTTTACCTCAGTTAAATTTGGAATCAAGGTAATCATAAACCATTTTAGCTATGAGAGGGAATTAACAACTGTCTCAAAAAATACATATCGAAATTTCCACAGAACGGTTGTCAGAGATACATGAAGATAATGTCTGATAGCATATGCATTACAGGATCCGGTTGGAATCTATACAATTAGCAACAGAACATTTTTTCAAGTCAGTTCAGCCCCTGGACTGTAGAGTACAATATAGCAAATAAAACGGGGGTTGGGGGTAAGTGGCAGAAGTCGCTCTTGGTTGCTCCCTGTTGATATGGGGTGGAGTTGAGAGTCTTGAAGGCTGGAACACAGTGGAAACCCAGGAAGAGCAGGCTGTTGTGGGCTTTGTAGGGCCCGCAGGCAACGTTGTCTTTGGAGCAGTCAGTGTCCCAAGAATGTAATAGGGCCCCTCTGGAGTGAGAGCTGGAGGTAGGGCCACCGGGCTGCAGCAAGGCTGTGGTCAGAGGAAGAGCAATCTGTAACACTTTAAATGATTACGAATGATGGAACAAATATATGTTAATGACAGAACATGAAGCTAAGAAATTTTCTGTGAGGTACACATTTGAAATTTTTAAGTGCACAGTTTTTGCAGAACAGAGCAATTCAGGCCAGGGAGAGGGGGAAAGTTCCTCCTCCCCCAAAAATAGGCAGGTGGGAAAACAACTTTAGACAAGTAATATTAGTCTGTGCTTATTTTGACCAGTAATTATGTTGCTGGATCCAAGTTGATCTCTTGAAGCTTATTACCTTTCTTAAGGCGCAAAAATGTTAGATATATCAGGTTATTATTACTTGTATGTTATGAAAGCGGCATGTGTTTTTTGAGTCATAATAGAAGTTTGAAAACCAAAAATAATTTTGGTTAAAAGTAGTAATATTCCCTTTCCTGTTTAGAAGGCCGTATGTATATAAATTAAAGCAATGCCTCCATTAAAATTGGAAGAATTTTCAGGGGGCTGGAGAGATGGCTCAGCAGTTAAGAGCACTCACTATTCTTCCAGAGGTCCTGAGTTCAATTCCCAGAAACCACATGGTGGCTCACAGCCATCTTGAATGAGATCTGCTGGCATGCAGGCAGAAGACTGTATACATAATAAATATGTTTTAAAAAATTGGAAGAATTTTCAAGTTTTACATTTTAAAAAAATGCTCAAAAGGAATATAAAATACTATGCTTATGGCAGAATAGTATATCTTTATAAGGTGCAATGATTATAAATATTAAATTTAGATTTGGCCGTTGTCTTTGGACAGGACTAACTTTGAGAATTAAAGAACCCTGTCCTTTTAACAGATAAAGGAAGGCAACTGACTCCAAAGTATATATAATTAAAATAGAACCCTGGCAGGAACTAGAACAAGGCATAGTTCTGCTTATCTTGAGAAGTTTAGACATCTTAAATGGCAAGGAGCTTAAGTAAGTAATTATTTATATCAATAACAATATGTTTACAAATATAGTTTTAATATGTATATATAAGAATATATGCAAAGATTAATTGAATATATTTGAATAATATTTATAAGATCAGTCAGTAACCTGTATTTTTAAATTATTAATAGCTTATACATTAAATAAAATTGCAATTAATAAGTTGTACAGTTTGTAGTATTTTTAAGTTTATTTTTATCTAAATTATTATATATTTATATGTCATACATGTTGGATGTTATATAAATATATATATATATATTTATGCATTATAGAATTAAATTATAATAATCAAAGAAATTATCCAAAAGTTATTCAGATAATTAATTGTTAGGCTGTATTTCTTCATTATCTTTAATAGTTTGTGATTTAAGTAAACCTATTGCTAACACTTTATAAGTTAGTTATCTTATAAACTTGGAACTTATGTTTTATCAGTTAAATTTAGCCTAAAAAATAATGATGAGGTTTTCTTAATATGGAAACAAAAGCTCTTAAACAGAAATACAATATATATAAGGAGACTGTTAACCAGAACTATGAAATATAAGGAGATTGATAATTATGTATATAATGTAGCATAAAACAGTCATGCAATTAAAAGACCAAAACAGCTGCTTTATGGGTAAAAGAGAGGTGTGTTTTTAATTCTTATGGGGATACTAGGATAACAGAGAGGACATGTAAACTCAGATATTTAATAGGAAGGCAAATAGACAGCTGAAGAAATAGCTCCTTAGTGTTAGGATAAGAGAGTTTCTTTTTAGAGTTAAGCGGAATCTGTAGAGTTCAGACTTTAGACAAAAAGCAAGCAGCAGCAGTGTGACTTTCTAGGTGCTGACCACCCAAAACAGAAGGGCTGAGGGCGGTGATGCAGACAAGGACAGTGGCTCAGGAGAGTGCAGATAATTAGACACAGAGAACAGAGATGTAAAGAGAGAGGGTTTTCTGGAACAGTGTCTAGCAGTCTCAAAGTGAACCTAGAAACCCTGTAGAATTTCTGCAATTCTGGAGAGAGGGTCCTGTCTCCGTGATTTCGACCATGTATTTTTGTAAAGCAACCAGGAGCCTAACCAGGAGATGGGTAGCCTCATCCATTTAGAGAGGAAGGCAGATTTAGAGTATAACCCATGAGAAGAAAAGTTGAAAGAATCATTTGAGGGTTTTTTTTTTTTTGTATTTATTTAGTATACAGTGTTCTGCCTGCATCTATATTCCTGCAGATCAATAGATGGCACCAGATCTCATTATAGATGGTTGTGAGCCACCATGTGGTTGTTGGGAATGGAACTCGGGACCTCTGGAAGAGCCATCTCTCCAGCCCCTCATTTGAGGCTTTAAAGTGGCTGGAAAAGTCTGTGTAAGCCGCTCAGCCTTTTGCTAACAGCTTGTTATTTAACTCTGTTACTCAAATGAGGAGCAGCAGGAGCTCCAAGCAGCAAGGCAGATCAGAAGTTTAAGGCAGAATTTAACTCTTTAACTTCCTCTGAGCAAAGAAAGCCATCCAGAACAGGCAGGGATCAGAAATGGGAGAGCCTGGCAAACATTGAGCTTTGTTTATTACGTTTTTTAGGTGGTCTTGTTGAATGCTTTGGTAGACATTACAAGGGCCACCAATTAGGATTGTCAAGTACTGGTGTTTCTTTGATATACAGTGAGTTAAATAGCAGCTCTGTCCCTTCAAGAGAGACAGCAGAAACTGTAGTAACTGATTCCATCTCTTGAGCCATTACTTTCAACAATTGACTGTTGCATTGTAGATTTTGTTTGACCTTTGCTAAGAAGGAAAATTTTAGAGCACTTAAAGAGGGCTAAGGGGGAAAAGTTAGTAATCCTTAACAAAGCACTTAGTCCATAGGACCAGAAGCATTTTACCAGTGAGGGCTGTCTGACAATCAGCCAATTAGAAAGTGTCTCTAGGATGCTTCCAGAAGGGAACATTTGAGGTGCATTGGCAGTGGGTTAAGGGAAATTTTTCTTTTACTCATCACCAAAAAATCATCCTGACAAACTTAAGTCTCAGGGTGGGCGTGGCTTGCAATTCATGCTGTTAAGCGGATAAAGGGGGCTTCTCAGTGCTAAGTCAAAGGGATACAATTTCCTAAGGCTATGTAGTGTGATATCCGGAGGCTGCAGCTCTTACTGCTGATGTCCCTGTGAGAAGGAATTTCCTTTCTCTGGGGCCTATTTGACAGTACAAGTCACCTAGTATATATTCTACATACAGCCAAATTTGCAGTAACAAATATACTGGAGGTGATACCTAGAATATTAATTGCTACTTCTATAATGAGTGATAAAGGCTCCCAACAGGACTTATCCATGAACTCAGTAGCATGTAATATTTGCACTCATATCTTAAAGCTCCATATCCATTATTACAACTGACATGGTGTTAATTGTGACAAAAATTCAATATAAAATTCACTGAAACTACTAAATGTACTGAAGAACTAGACAAAAATTATCAGTCAAGAAATCTTGCCTAAATTCTTCTGCTTCATGTTCTCATGTACTGAGCACAGTACTGTGTTAGACTTCTGTATTCTTCCCAAAATGGGCATTATTGTATGTAAGGTAATCGTGATCACCTGTCTGGAAAGCACGAGTTTGCCCTGGAATGTGGAGAGAAGGGATTATCCACAACTAGAATGGGCAGTGAATGAGCAAGAGAACACTGAAGGCTTCAAGTGAAAGAGAAAGCAAGAGCTGAGAATGTTTTTGCAATGTTCAATTCCACTTGAAAGGATTCCTGATCATTTAATTTAGTATACTGTCCTGGCCAGAGGATGCAACCTGTCTGTTGTAATAACTGTCCATTAGGCTTCTGTCTTACTACACCTGTATTGTGGTGACTTAGTGGTAGTACAAAATGCAGTTTTATTTGACAGTGCTGAAATCGGACTGGAGTAATTTTACAAAATGGTCAGTCCATGAAGTAGGATTATTCTGTAATTGCCTTCCTTGTACACCTGTCGTCATATTATCTCCTTCATTTTCTTCCCAGTGGAGAATACACAGGCACATTTATGGGAAATAGTCTCAGGAGTCAGTGTACAGAGTGGACCTGAAAACAACCCTACGAGGAAAGTTAAGAACACAGCAGTGTGCGGAGCTCAGACAGGGGAGGATAGAAATAGGCAATAGCTGCCCATGACAGCCCTGCCTCAGTCCAGCTGGAGCCTCCGATATCTGGAAGATTATCTTTGCATCCATTACTCTTGAAGAGTCTGATGTGTTTTTCTAGAGAGAAATATAAACCTTTTGATGGTTTTAAGTAAGACTTTAATTTTTTAAAGGAATTGTGTCTTGTGAGCAATACTCTTCATTGCCTATCATTAGTAAGTATAAATACTGTGAACCTGTGATTGGATTAAACTTCTCTTCATCAATTTCAAAGAAGATACAATTGAAGGTAGAGATAATGTCTTTTATATATAATCACTTAGTGAGCTCTATCATACAGCTAATTCATGGCCATCAATTATTTCTTCCATCTTTTTCCAGTTAGAGATTTTTGAGAAATATGAGATATCTGTTATAACTCACTGACATTTGAATGCTGTCATGCGGTGTTTGTGAGAATCCATACAATTACAGTAAATGAAAACATGTCCATTATTGTGAGCTGTAATCTAGGTAGTTCCATGTTCACTTATGTTAAGTGACGACTTAGGGAGACAGTCGTTTATCACACATTTGTTATTGGAACAAACCTTATTAATCTGAACTGTATTCATTTTCAGAGAACTATTTCAAGTATGAGTCTGTCCATCAGCATGTGAAGACTGAAAAGGAGTCTTGTCAGTGTAATGAGCTCGGAAAAGTGCTTCATGAACCCTCCACATGTTCACATCATAGAACAAGTGAAACTACAGAAAACTCCAAGAACTACACACGCAGTAATCACAGGGGTGCCTCTGTTGACTCATCAAACCCAGACAGACAGGAAAGCATGCACACTGGAGAAGAACCGTGCCGATCAAAAGTCTGTGAGGAATGTTTAAATTTGTGTTCCAACATGACTCAAGATCAGAGAGTCTACACTGCAGAGAAAGACCACAGGCTGGGAGAACATGATGACACTTTCAGCTCTACATACAGTGTTGTGCAACAACCAGTCCACATTGAAGAGACACCACACCAGTGTGGGACATGCAAGAAATATTTCCAGACTGCCTCATGCCTCACTGAGCATCAAAGGATTCATTCTGAAAATAAAGTCTATGAAGGCAACATTTGTGAAAAATCTTTTAACCAATATTCAAGTCCTAAAATACATCAAAGTGTTCATAGTGGGGAGAAATATTACGAGTGTATGGAAAGTGACAAGTCCTTTACCCAGGGCTCACAACTTACAGCACATCAGAAAATTCTTACTGGAGAGAGACCTTGCAGTTGTCAGGAATGTGACAAGTCCTTTACCCAAGACACACATCTTATAACACTACAGAGGGTTCCTACTTGGGAGAAACCTTATAAATGTATGCATTGTGACAAAACCTTTACATATGACTCCCAACTTAGAAGTCATCAGATTGCTCACACTGTGGAAAAACCTTACAAATGTAAGGAATGTAACCAGTCCTTTACACATGACTCCCACCTTAGAAGCCATGAGAGTGTTCACACTGTGGAAAAACCTTACAAATGTAAGGAATGTGACCAGTCCTTTACACAAGACTCCCAACTTAGAAGCCATCAGAGTGCTCACACTGTGGAAAAACCTTACAAATGTAAACAATGTGACCAGTCCTTTACACATGACAAACAACTTAGAAGCCATCAGAGTGCTCACACTGTGGGAAAACCTTACAAATGTAAGGAATGTGACAAGTCCTTTAGATATGACTCCCAACTTAGAAGGCATCAGACTGCTCATGCTATGGAAAAACCTTACAAATGTAAGGAATGTGACAAGTCTTTTAAACGGGACTCCCAACTTAGAAGTCATCAGACTGCTCATGCTATGGAAAAACCTTACAAATGTAAGGAATGTGACAAGTCTTTTAAACGGGACTCCCAACTTAGAAGTCATCAGACTGCTCATGCTATGGAAAAACCTTACAAATGTAAGGAATGTGACAAGTCCTTTAGATATGATGCTCAACTTAGAAGGCATCAGAGTGCTCACACTGTGGAAAACCCTTACAAATGTAAGCAATGTGACCAGTCCTTTACACATGAATCTCAACTTAGAAGTCACCAGAGTGCACACACTGTGGAAAAACCCTATAAATGTAAACAATGTGACAAGTCCTTTACAAATGACAAACAACTTAGAAGGCATCAGAGTACTCACACTGTGGAAAAACCTTACAAATGTACAGAATGTGACAAGTCCTTTACAAATGACTCTCAACTTAGGAGTCATCAAAGTGCTCACGCTGTGGAAAAACCTTACAAATGTAAGGAAAGTGACCAGTCCTTTACACATGATAAACAATTTGGAAGTCATCAGAGTGCTCACACTGTAGAAAAACCTTTCAAGTGTTTGGAATGTGACAAATCCTTTACATATGACTCCCAACTTAGAAGTCATCAGAGTGTACACACTGTGGAAACAACTTACAAATGTAAACAATGTAATCAGTCCTTTACAAATGACAAACAACTTAGAAGCCATCAGAGTGCTCATGCTCTGGAAAAACCTTACAAATGTAAGGAATGTGATCAGTCCTTTACATATGACTCAGAACGTAGAAGACATGAGAGTGCTCACACTATGGAAACACCTTATAAATGTAAAGAATGTAACAAGTCCTTTACACATGACTCAGAACATAGAAGTCATCAGAGTGCTCACACTGTGGAAAAACCTTACAAATGTAAGGAATGTGATCAGTCATTTACACATGATAAACAATTTGGAAGTCATCAGAGTGCTCACACTGTACAAAAACCTTTCAAATGTATGGAATGTGACAAATCCTTTACATATGACTCCCAACTTAGAAGTCATCAGAGTGTACACACTGTGGAAACAACTTACAAATGTAAACAATGTAATCAGTCCTTTACAAATGACAAACAACTTAGAAGCCATGAGAATGCGCACACTGTGGAAAAACCTTACCAATGTAAGGAATGTGACCAGTCCTTTACAAATGACAAACAACTTAGAAGCCATGAGAATGCGCACACTGTGGAAAAACCTTACCAATGTAAGGAATGTGACCAGTCCTTTACAAATGACAAACAACTTAGAAGCCATGAGAATGCGCACACTGTGGAAAAACCTTACCAATGTAAGGAATGTGACCAGTCCTTTACAAATGACAAACAACTTAGAAGCCATGAGAATGCGCACACTGTGGAAAAACCTTACCAATGTAAGGAATGTGACCAGTCCTTTACAAATGACAAACAACTTAGAAGCCATGAGAATGCGCACACTGTGGAAAAACCTTACCAATGTAAGGAATGTGACCAGTCCTTTACAAATGACAAACAACTTAGAAGCCATGAGAATGCGCACACTGTGGAAAAACCTTACCAATGTAAGGAATGTGACCAGTCCTTTACAAATGACAAACAACTTAGAAGCCATGAGAATGCGCACACTGTGGAAAAACCTTACCAATGTAAGGAATGTGACCAGTCCTTTACAAATGACAAACAACTTAGAAGTCATCAGAGTGCTCACACTGTGGAAAAACCTTACAAATGTTTGGAATGTGAACAATCCTTTACTTATGACTCCCAACTTAGAAGTCATCAGAGTGCACACACTGTGGAAAAAACTTACAAATGTAAACAATGTGGCCAGTCCTTTACAAATAACAAACAACTTAGAAGCCATCGGAGTGCTCACACTGTGGAAAAACCTTACAAATGTTTGGAATGTGACCAATCCTTTACATATGACTCCCACTTAGAAGTCATCAGAGTGCTCACACTGTGGAAAAACCTTACAAATGTTTGGAATGTGACCAATCCTTTACATATGACTCCCAACTTAGAAGTCATCAGAGTGCACACATGGTTCGAAAAACTTACAAATGTAAACAATGTGGCCAGTCCTTTACAAATAACAAACAACTTAGAAGCCATCGGAGTGCTCACACTGTGGAAAAACCCTATAAATGTAAACAATGTGACAAGTCCTTTACAAATGACAAACAACTTAGAAGCCATCAGAGTGCTCACACTGTGGAAAAACCTTACAAACGTAAGGAATGTGACCAGTCCTTTACACATGACTCCCAACATAGAAGTCACCAGAGTGCTCATACTTTGGAAAAACCTTACAAATGTAAGGAATGTGACAATTCTTTTACACAAGAATCCCAACTTAGAAGTCATCAAAGTGCGCACACTGTGGAAAAAACTTACAACAGTAAAGAATGTGACCAGTCCTTTACATATGACTCCCAACTTGAAAGCCATCAAAGTGCTCACACTGTGGAAAAACCTTACAAATGTAAGGAATGTGACCAGACCTTTACACAAGAATCCCAACTTAGAAGACATCAAAGTACTCACGCTGTGGAAAAACCTTACAAATGTAAAGAATGTGACAAGTCCTTTACACATGACTCAGAACTTAGAAGCCATCAGAGTGCTCACACTGTGGAAAAACGTTTCAAATGTTTGGAATGTGACAGGTCCTTTACAAATGCCGAACAACTTAGAAGTCATCAGAGTGCTCACACTGTGGAAAAACCTTACAAATGTAAGGAAAGTGACCAGTACTTTACACATGATGAACAATTTGGAAGTCATCAGAGTGCTCACACTGTGGAAACACCTTATAAATGTAAGGAATGTGACATGTCCTTTACACATGACTCAGAACTTAGAAGTCATCAGAGGGCTCACACTGTGGAAAAACCTTACAAATGTAAGGTAAGTGACCGGTCCTTTACACATGATAAACAATTTGGAAGTCACCAGATTGCTCACACTGTGGAAAAACCTTACAAATGTAAGGAAAGTGACCAGTACTTTACACATGATGAACAATTTGGAAGTCATCAGAGTGCTCACACTGTAGAAAAACCTTTCAAATGTTTGGAATGTGACAAATCCTTTACTTATGACTTCCAACTTAGAAGTCATCAGAGTGCACACACTGTGGAAAAAACTTACAAATGTAAACAATGTGACCAGTCCTTTACAAATAGCAAACAACTTAGAAGCCATCAGAGTGCTCACACTGTGGAAAAACCATATAAATGTAAATATTGTGACAAGTCCTTTACAAATGACAAACAACTTACAAGGCATCAGAGTGCTCACACTGTGGAAAAACCTTTCAAATGTACAGAATGTGACAAGTCCTTTACAAATGACTCTCAACTTAGGATGTGCTCACACTGTAGAAAAACCTTACAAATGTAAGGAATGTGACAAGTCCTTTACATATGACTCAGAACTTAGAAGCCATCAGAGTGCTCACACTGTGGAAAAACCTTATAAATGTAAGGAATGTGACCTGTCCTTTACACAAGAATCCCAAGTTATAAGCCATCAGAGTGCTCATACTGTGGAAAAACCTTACAAATGTAAACAATGTGGCAAGTCCTTTACACAAGACTCAGAAATTAGAAGCCATCAGAGTGCTCACACTGTGGAAAAACCTTACAAATGTAAGGAATTTGACAAGTCCTTTACACAAGACTCCCAACTTAGAAGAGATCAGAGTGCTCACACTGTGATAAAACCTTTCAAATGTAAAGAATGTGACAAGTCCTTTATGCACCACAAACAACTTATAAGTCATCAGATTACTCACACTGTGGAAAAACCTTACAAATGTAAGGAATGTGACCAGTCCTTTAGAAAAAACTTACAAATGTAAACAATGTGACCAGTCCTTTACAAATAACAAACAACTTAGAACCCATCAGAGTGCTCACACTGTGGGAAAACCCTATAAATGTAAACTATGTGACAAGTCCTTTACACATGACTCAGAACTTAGAAAGCATCAGAGTGCTCACACTGTGGAAAAACCTTACAAATGTACAGAATGT